CCGTGCGCCGACCGTGAATATCAAGGTCCCGACTGGATTTACTAAAGGATAGCCACTCTACAAAATGTGTGCTTAATCAAGCCGGAGGAATTGCTCATATATCATTTAATTTTATTTCAAACGATGTATTATGTATCACTATCTAAAAAAGACGCGAAAAATAACTAAGTCAACTAACAAAAAAGTCAGATAAATAGAAATGTAGCGTACAACAAAATAAATACGTTAAGTTACAGGTTTCCCGCTCTCTCTCTTTTTATTATCTTTCTATTTCTTATATTTCTTCTATCTCTACCTACTTCGCGTCTGAATACAGTTTAAAGAGATATTTTTTTAACAACAGACTCTCAAAGAATTACTTCAGAGGTAAAAATTGGTAACACCAAAGAATCTGTTAATTTCGCGAATTTTCCTGCAGTAATTAATTTTATATTTAATGTTAATGTTTTCTTTAGAATGACTTCTCCGAGTAGCAAACTTGACCTAGATGGTAAATTTGAGCGTTAATAATATTACTTAACACAAATTAGTTGGAGCGACGTTGGGCTCCCGTCAATTTCCAATAATTATTGGACGGGGAGAGGCTAATTAGGTTTACTTGCATTTCCGCAAGCGCCACCGTTGCGACAATTTCATTTGCGCTCGAAACTCCCCCATGAGAAGACGTGTCGATCGTGTTAAGTTTTATAAGGCGAGTTTATTGTAGGTACACTGTATGTTTAGAATGGACTTTATCAACTTTACTATGGACTTTATTATTAGATTTAAAATACCCATGTTCTAATAATTTTTAATGCGACGCTGATGAGGCATGACTAAATTCTTTCTTACCTTAAATACTTATTCAAGACCTGGATTACATCAAGTGGACCACCGACTTGCCTGTCACTTTCTCAATACCGGTCAAGTGCGAGTCGGACTCGAACACGAAGGGTTCCGTACCATTACCAGCAAAAACGGCAAAAATCATATATGTTGTATGGGAGCTCCACTTAAACATTTTATTATTCTATTTTGCAGTATTTAGCTTTTTTTATGTGATAAAGTGGCAAATGAGCTTGTGGTTCACCTGATGTTAAGTGATATCCGCCGCCCATGGAGATTTGCAACACCCTATAGGTTGCAGAAGAGCTACCTTTAATTACAGTGGGCCCCGGCTGTTTCACTCAACAGATGAAACGCAGAAGTGTAACATTTTTACTTTACGCCCGTCTTCTGTGACGTCGTGGTACTTACTGTAGCATGTGTGCATTTACAAAAACATAAATTCCACATACAGAAATACGCAATCTCGAAACAATTATCTGTATATAGGTCATTTTTTTTATGTTAAAAGTTGTCAAGCGAGCAGGCGGTTCACCTGATGTTAAGTGAATACCGCCGCCCATGGACATCTGCTACACTCGAGGGTTACAGATGCGTTGTCAACCTAATATTTGAACCGTGGGAATTGTACCCATGACATGTTATGCAGCAGCCGACGTTGTTCATCCGCTACGCAAACGATGGTATACGTTAAAACGAGCAATTCTTGTATATGTATATGTAATCTGAGTCTCAGAAACTGCTCCAACGATTTTCAAGTATGCAGTGGGTTTTGTGGGATTTCATTTTTAGAAAATGTCATTGCATCCGTGTTTTCTGCCAATTAGAAACTGATACAAGTACTGCTAAAATATCATTTAGATACGAAGGTAAATTCGCCACTATCTACAAAGTTACAATATACAACCTATTTTATTTTGTTATATAAATACTATATTGTATAGGTACGTTATTATATAATATACGTTATTCTGTTATAACAGTTCAGGTGGGAAATCAGACAGACGGTTCCGAAACCAGAAGACTTCGGTTCGAGTGTAGATGATTTTTTTAACTTTTTTCCTTACGTTTTCAAATTTCTTCTATTGTGAGCACAAAAAGAACGAGGAAAGCTCGGTTATTCAGCTTCTATTGTTTATCTATGCATTTCAGCTTCCACATTTTAGTTATCGCCATCTTGGGAAATGTTTTATCTGAAATTTTGACACATTTTGCAAAAGGAATTCATTTCTATCGTTCCGTTACTGTTGATCATCGCTGTTTTTTGACTATTTTGATGAGCATACTATTCCATTTCACTCCGCAGCCTAGCCTCAGCAACGCAATAACATATTTTTTGGACGTGTTTATGGTTCGCTAGAATATTTTTATTTATTCCCTTTAATTTTACATCAGACGTGTCTACTGATTTCACCAATGCTTGCCAGATAATGTATTTTCTAACGAATACTTCACATCACTAAATGAAACTATGTAGGGAGTATAATAACGTTATTGTAGGCAAAAACATGTGTATACAACAATAAATATTTATCACTAGACACTTAAACCAATATTAAGCTTTACGTAAAACTAGTGGTTAATTGTAATCTATGGACTTGACTACGAAGTAAAATTAACAAGGTAGCTTCAACTTAAGCCATGCGAGTGTAGAAAGTTGGTTACTTTAGAAGTTTTTATCTTATATATACTCTGTTGAAATAAATTACATAAGTACATACACTAGTACTCATTATTTACAGAACTAACCTCAGAATACATTTTCTATTTGATTTTGTTCAATATTAATTAAATTAATCATTTAACAGGTGGCCACATCAGCCAAACCAAACCCAAAGCAAAAATAAATTTTAAAATCGGTTCATAAATGACGGAGTTCTGAGGTAACAATTCTGATAGGGCCACGCAACAGTTTTCACTGTTGCACGATTGGGCAGGTCCGTCCGGATAATTACCACGACCTCACAGAAGACCGGCGTAAAGTAGAAATGTTACACTTCTGCGTTTCGTGTGGGGAGTGAGGTAGCCGGGGCCCGCGTTATTTAAAGGTGGCAACGCATGTGCAACACCCGTAAGGTTGAAGTCCAAGGGCGACGGTGATTACTTAACGTCAGGTGAACCACCAGCTCGTTTGTAACTTTTTCACATAAAAAATAAAATAAATAACAAACAGAAAAATAAAAACATACGTTATATGTGTACTTATGAACGCAGGTAAGAAGTTATATCTACTTCTTTAACGTAAAGACATGAAATGCAAATAATAACTTGCTTTGTTTATTGTGTGCTGTACGTGCACATCGTAATAACTTTACTCTCATAACTATTCCAACCGCGCCAAAAGAAAATATAACTTGTACAAAAATGTACAACCGAATCATGAGCTTTGCCCTTTTTTGAAGTAGAAATACACTGAGGCTTGAAAGACACTTTCCGCTTTCTACTTTTAGCGATCCTTACACAATTCTATCGAATGTTCATGTCAGAACTTATTACAAGTTATATTTACGCCACCCTCCTCAATATAATATCTTCTACTTAGAAATCCCTTCTTAATATCATAAATGTGAATGTAAGTATATATATATATATATATATATATATATATATATCCAAGAATTGCTCGTTTAAAGGATAATATTAGTTCATTCCGACACCACTATACATGATACTAATACATGACTCGAGCTTATATCTGGATATAGTTTAGAGTGGGCTGATTCAGAGGACAAGAAATCTTCAAAATACGTTATAAAGCATTAGCAATTAGCCAACAGTTAAGTATAATTAAGAGAGTAAATGGCAGACACGGGAACTCGATTCAAGGACTCTGGTAAAATTACAGATTCATTACAATTCAAATTTAAATTTATGAGCTGAGAAGTAAATATTAAGAGAGTGTGCGGAGTTGGTTTCGTAAATATATTACTCAAATTTTTCATCAGATTATATGGTTTATTTAAAACGATTGTTGTCATTTGTATTGCCGTTGATTATAAACACTAACAAAATACCTACATTTTATTTTAATCTTTATTCCCAGTCTTAAGAAAAAGGTGACAAAGGGCGGATAATGCCCAAAGGCATACTCTACCAGTCAACCCAGGATGTGATGAGAGCCAATGATATCAAAAAGATGTATAAAATATAAATTCTCTGTAAAAAACTTCACTACCTACCCTAAAAACGTAACAATGACGTCAAGTACGTATACTGTTTTTACGTAAACAGTTGGTAAATGTTAAAGAAAAACATCCAAGTACTATGGTTACTGTTTTTACTGTTATTACAATACTAGCTTTTACCCGAGGCTTCGCTCGCGTTGAAGCCCTTAAATAAATATTTTTTTAAACATTTTATATTTAAAAAAAAGCATATACACACACATATATATATATATACTTTTTTAAATCGTTATATATCTATATATATATACAGATGGATAGTGGAGACTTAATAATGTGGTCTCGATTTACCCTTTGAGTACGGAACCCTAAAATAAAACCCTACGCCGTATATTCTAGAAACTAGAACTGTTATAATTCTGCGTTTCGTCTGTCACTCTCTGAAGATATTCCACATCATTCTTTAAGTTAGGGCCCGAAACACTTTGTTTTTTTACCACGACCTACCGTGAACTGACTAATTCTGCGCTAGCGCTTGACTGCCATCCCATCTGATGGTAAGTGGCGATGCAGCCGTGGATGGTAAGCGCGCTAGCTCAGTAAAAGCCTATTCACTCTTGTCTCGAAGACGCCTACGTTATAATCGGACGGGAAGACCGACGCCGGCAGGTTGTTCCATTCCTTAGCCGTACGGATGATAAATGACGATGCGAATCTCTTTGTTCTAGTGCGTGGAACGTCGACAGCAAAAGGGTGAAGCCCCGCAGAACGTCTAGTTGTCCGATGATGGAAAGGGGCGGGAGGAATCACGATACTAATAAGATAACAACACATCTGCAACCCTATGGGTGTTGTAAATGTTCATGGGCGGCGGTTATCTTTTAACATCAGGTAAATCACCAGTTCGTTTACCACCTTCTCACATTAAAAAAAAAAAAAAAAACCGCAGGGTACCTTTTTTCCAAAACACGCTTTATTATACGTATCGTCTAAATTCTCGTCTAATGTGAGATTGTTTGATCTCTAATTTGAAGTCATCCAGAAACATCACCCTAGACAGAATTTCAACAGTCCATTGGACGTGCGTTTGCTCTCGACAAAACCGTAACCCGACAACTCGATGTTCTCTGGGAAGTTTGGGGCCATTTGTCCTATAAATCTTAATATCAGATTCACGAAGTCATCGCAGAATCGAAATAGTGAGTACTCTTGGGACCTTAGATAACGATACTCGTACTGTTTCAGCTGAAATACGGCGCCTTCCTCCTTCCTGTACGGTAATAAAAATCCGGGTATATTCTTCAGGTGTTGACGATATGGCATTGATGATAAAAAAGGAGCAATCTAATAATCGGTTTAAACGAAACCGAAAAATGTTAGAATTTTAAACTTTGTTATTTTTCAGTTATGAAATTATTTTTTTCATTTAACTTTAACTACTATGACAGAACTCTCTTTTCAGATTTGTAATAAGCGTTACTAATCTACTCATAACATACTATATGTAAATGAGCGTTCTATTTTAAAAAAAACTATGGGATATACGATCACGATTTTTCTATTTGATCCATTATTTTGCAGTATTTTTGTTGTTATAGGATATTTGATAAGTTATAACAACATGTAATACGGCGGCACTAACCACAGTTTCAATCATATTATGTTCAAGTTATGTTTAATTTTCAATTTAATATCCTACACTAAATTAAATTGTACTAGATGGTAAATATTTGTCCTCCTTATCTTAGGTAGGCTTGCTAAGCAAAGCCTAAACATATTGTGAGATATTAAACAATATTGGCTCTACTATCTGTCTACCTAAATTCAATATCAAATTGTAATTTAGATCAAGTAAGTGAGCCCGAGACTACAGGGCTGAAATATCAAATTTACATGGATGACATTTACCTATCATACCATAATTAATTTTTATATTTCTTTTTCTGTGTTTAATAATGTTTGAATTGACTCTTATTATTTCATTTGGTACAATGCGAACTTTTATTTCAATTTTTATGTAAAATTCGACGTTTCATAAGAACGCGACAGCGTCCATTTCGAAGCCGTCTCTGCAAATGGGTTGATCCCAGTCAGCATCTCCGAAAATCTGAGGCGACTGGGACTCCGAGACGGAACGCTCCTAGCATAAATGCAGAAGGCGGTGCTTCTCGATGTCAGTCTCCCCTGCTGAGGGCTTCCGTCCGGTTGGATCCTATTTGTGTATGTATTATATACAATATTTATATCTCTATGTTTATTTTTATTTGTAATATTTATTTTACATATGCAATATATTTATTTATGTTTATTTTTATTTGTAAACCCCACCAGACCAGAAAATAAATAAATATCCTCATCATAATAATTTATTTCCAAAAAAATGGGTGTACAAGGGATGCAGGTGTACTGTCACGACATGAAATAGAAAATGTAACTTAACAATATGTTGGTCTGCAACGGGATCTAAACTCAAGGTCTTGAGTTTAAACCTCGTTTTGAAGGTTTATTTTAAGATGCGGTGGTACTCGTCGAACACGCAATCCCGTAGGCGTGTTAGCTCCGTTTCCAAAAATTAATTTAGAATGCCGTCATGACGTCATTGTTGTAGCAACAATGCCCGGGTGGTTCGCGAAACGATTGAAAAGCTCGCTGCTCGACAATGGCGCGGGCCTGCCTTGCTATTATTCCGCGTCACTCACAGCAGACGTGCAACCCTTAAATGATGTAATGTACCGATATTCATCACAACGCGCTTGACACATTGACACCATGACAGGCAACTGCGCTGGATGACGGCAGGACTGTGTACGAGCGAGATTCTCAGACGGAAATAGCGTTGAGTATTCGCGGTAATATACCCCAAAGGTCGATGTGCAATATTTATGGTACTATAGATACGGAGATTTTTGGAAACTTTTGAGAAATGATCCCGGCAATACCTTTTTCGTTCACATTTTTTTTATGAAAAGGTAGAAAACATGCTTTCAGTTCATTATGTACAGGGAGATTTTTTGAGAAGTGCCCAAATTTACACAGGAGGTTCAGACTCGGTAGTATTCGTTTATTGAAATAAAAAAGTTTTTTACCAAAAAAAAAATGCCATTGTATTCCCTAAAAAACAGAACGTGTTGACAATGCGGTAGTCATTCATAAATACCTAAATTTTACTGTGCACAAACTTGTGTGCGTGTTAGTTATGAATGATCGCGCGTAAAATAAATGAGTTGCGTATAAATCACGCACTTTTTGAGATAAGTTCAAATGAATGTAATTACTTACCGAGTGATTTTAAATATTTATCATTTTTTTATATAACATTATTTGTCTTGAATTTAATAAAAAAAAATGGACAACATCCGTAGGTTTCCAAATCCGTTGCCACCTTTTAATCGAAAAATGTCAGCAGTATTTACGCTTTGCTTATTTATGTATTGAAGTCAATAAAATAGAGGAATTCCTTAGTGAAAATAACAAGTTTTATTTTATCCCTTTAAAAAGTGAGCATTTCCGAAGATTTTTATTGTGTTAATGTATTGTTGGATATCTTTCCCAATCGAGTTAAAATATTGGTTCGTCATTAATATATTTATTCGTAATCTTTAATATTACCGGTTATTGTCTTTATGGTGTACTGCTGGATAGTAGATAAAAACTAAAGAATAAAAAATAGTAAGAGAAAATGAAACCTTTACTTCAAGATCGCCTTGAGCACTATTGAATGTTTGAAGATAATCATGTGTTACTAATACGATGAGGTATATGCTTATCCAAAGAATAAGTTTCTATTGTTAGATCTTGACAAATTGTGAAATATCAAAACTATTGCCTATATATCCATTAGATGATAATTATTAATATGAAGCCGCATTATTGTATTTAATCCCGTTTTAACTGAGCACAAGTTCATTCATTGGAGACGTTTGGACTTATGTTTTGAACTAGATTCCAATAAGCATGGCACTTGTTGTAGAGCTCTGGGTCATCATCTATACCCACTATGGGAGTGAAATCAATACGGTGCACCTTGACGGTGGAAGCGTTTACGCAATCAGGTTTAATTAATCTCCTCTCCGAAGATTCAGAATCTTCATTCGTTAAATTTTTTTGAGTGTAACTGACAAAGGGTTTTTGTTCATTTACCACATTTCCGTCATCTCTGTCCATCTGTGTGTGACAACTGCTGATACTAGTGTTTTCTTGTGTTTTCAATTTATTAGCTCCCCTCTTCTTTAAAACTTGTTTGGATTTGGCATCGTATTTTTGGCTACGTTTGATATTTCTTATATTTTCAATGTTCTTGGTCAAAGTGTTCTTGTTATCAATTTGCGAGTGTGGCATTATTTAATTTGTATTTGAACTGTGAGATTTGGGTAATTCTTTGATTCACTTTACTCTTCGTACTTTACACTTCACACTTTACTTCGTATTTTGCTACATGAATAACGAAGATTTTAGTGAAGTTAGATTCCAAAAGATTGCATAGGAGTCTAGGAGTCAAAGTCATTTGACATATAAATTAAAATGTTTTTAACATTTGACTGAACCAGCCTTTGATTTTTTGTTTATTTAAAAGTACAGTAGAAAGTAGTTGGAAATTGTAAAATTAATATATGGTCAAAGTGATTAACAAATTAGTGACTGAAAGAACATAGGGCCAAATTTCAATAAGTTGAGAAAAAAAGCATTATACTTTTCTATTTAAAAACGTGATTAATCAGCCCTCTCAATCAGAATCTCAAGCTGCAAGGTTAAAATGAAAAATGAAGCTAGTCAACATAATCTAATTTATCGATTATTATCATAATCGCTTAATGAATGAATTCAATAATTAATAATATCAACACCTTCCACAAGATGAATAAATAAAACTAAAATGTCTATTTTGACATTACTGCTTTTTTAATCTGCTGACATCGAAAATTTACGAACATAGATAAGACATATATACTGAAACGAATGTTTACGAATTTTGTGAACTGTGATGTAAAAAATAAAATCACTGACACTTCACACATATTGTGCTTCACGATTATTATTTTTCTTTTAAAACCATTGCCCTTACTTTAGGATAGCGTTATCCTGTTGTAAGGCCGTTTTAAAAACATGCAGTACGCAAGAGCTACTTTCAGTTCGCATCGATTCGAAAATACCGTCCATGCCATCTTGATCTTTGGCAGTCGACCATCACGTTTTCGTGGAGTTTTCTGCCACGCACGCGTTCTCTGTAGGATCGGTCGTTGCCACTGGTACTTCCGGCCTAATATTTCGAAGGAAGCTTCCTCATACTGGTCCAGTTGGACTTTGGTGTGGTCACTATTCATTGTTCCTCCGTCTGGCCGTCCATTCATTGGTCGTCAATAGATTTTCGTAACACAACTTTACTATCAAATTCATTTACAGGTAAAGGTCTAATAAGCCAAAGCAATCATTTCTCAAATACTTATTAATTATATATGAATCACAAAAGGCCCGTATCACGGAAAGGTAAGCAAGAAAGGAAATGTCTCTTAAAAAGCTCTCGTATTTAATAAAGCATTCACGGATCAAATATATTATATGATGTCTCATCCCCCGAATGTATACAATTAGTCTGTTACCTTTTGTAGAACTAATGTTATTCCGGGTTGGCTTATTTATTTGGGGATAGCTATGTGCTATTCTGAGACGTAAGATTAATGAAACAACAATGTATATACTACCATGAATTTGACATAACATAGGTATGAATAGCATAATAACACTAACGTGACGGGTGACGATTCTGCTTGAGAAACCCAGAAATTGGTGAACCTACGATCGGAGATGCCTGAGCTATCACAAAATTAACTTCAGTAGATCTCAGTCTTCAAGTTTCTTATAGTAAATATATTACACGTACCATAACGGCACTGGGAGAATCGTAAGCAAAACAATATAGTGAGTACACATAGTAAGGGCTATAGGATAACAGTATCCTGAGTTTTACGGAGTTGACATACATAAATTGCACGTGGACAAACACCCAGATCCGAAACAGTTATCTGTGGGTAACACAAATAGTTGCCCCGTGTGGGAATCGAATGCACGATCTAGGGTTCCATACCCAAAGGGTAAAACGGGACCCTATTTATAAGACTCCGCTGTCTGTCTGTCTGTCACCAGACTGTATCTCAAGAACCGTAATATTTACAGGGTTGAAATTTTCACAGATGATGTATTTCTGTTGCCGCTATAACAACAAATACTAAAAATATTTAAGTGGGAGCTCCCATACAATAGTCATGAATTTTTTGCCGTATTTTGTATATAAAGTTACGGAACCCTTCGTGCACGAGTCTGAGTCCACACTTGGCCGGTTTATTAGTTGTTAAAAACATTGCTCCATGATTACATTATTCTATCTACATATTAGTGTGCTATATAAAAAGAAAGCTTTTTTTATAGAAATACTAACTGAAAAAGGATTTACACCCAAATCATTAAACATTGATAGAATTAATTATATTATACTAGCTGTTAACCGCGGCTTCGCTCGCGTTGAAGCTATTAATATAAATATAAACAAATCTTTTTTTTTAATATATTTTTTTAATGTGCCTCGTTATAATATCTGTGTTATAATACCTCTAAGACAGTACTGTTTCTGCTGTAAAAATTGGCAACGGTCTAACGGAATATCGGCGTAATTAAAATTATAACACGTTTCCTGCGATAAGTGAGGTAACTGCAGGTCTACAGTGTTTGGTGACACGCCTGCAACATATATAGTTTCTTTTGACGTTCAATAAGTGCTTAAATCAAGCCTATATCGAATAAAGACATTTCAACTTTGATGTTACGAGTACCACTGGACTTATTTACGATGCTATCGGCAGCTAGGGTATTCTCCTATGTATAGGTGTATAAAAATCAAGGTCTACACGACAAAAAGATATGGGAAAATTTGCTTTTCGCTTTTAGCGAAAACTAGTAAGTACCAAAATTTACCTTAATTTTCAAGATCTTTTATTTTTATTTTACAATTTTCCATTAACTTGTGCTGTAAGTTAAGTTTAAATGTGGAGTAAAATCTCATTTATCCTTATTGAAGTAACAACAAATTTAGGGCTTTACAATTTTCCTCAACGTAGAAAATTGTGTTATATCCGTACCTTGTACTCGTTGGAGACGCTTCAAGCCAGATTGCTTATTTATGTTACATGAAAAAGGGATATTCACCGCCTCAAAGCCATTAAAGTGATATTACTACGTTAAACATATTGATTTCGTCCCGTCGTATTTTCGGTTTATTGTTGCTGTGATACTCGACAACACTTACGTAAACAAGATATTTTTCCATATATCTTTTTAAGGGGATTTTGAACAAAAATAACGGAGAACGTTGAGACAGCTAATACAAGTCTAACATTTGTTATGTTCAAAACAATTCAATGTATGTTTACTACCATTATTAATTTCACCTTTTGTCCGTTCAGCCTGATCTGGTTTCGCTTGATTGCACGAAGATTGTGTAATACCTTCTGAAGGACAGTTATAGAATAGTAGCTAGGTGGGCGGGCAAATATTATTTTTTCGGTAACGTTACTCAGTAGGTATATCCGAATTCTGATAATTCTATATAGCGCCATCTAACAAAAGTTCTGAGGTGACTTCTATCTGAATTCAAGTACTAGTTACCTGGAGGACTAATTATAATAGGATACTAAATTTCATAAACATCGCTGGAGCCGTTTCCGAGATTCCGATTATATGAGAAAATTATAATAAATGGCATTACAACATTGTTATCGCCGATTTATAATAAAACAATTTTTTTTTTGTATAAAATCGAATTAACTTTTCGCTAAACTTAATGAGCAAAACCTCGTCAGTATTCCAAAATTTGATACAAATTAGTAATAATTATTAAAAAAATAGATTTTGAATTAGAGAAACAAATGTTAGATTAATAAATTAATACTAGCCTTACATAACGTAATTGTAAAATTTTATCATGTAATGGCAGTAAAATTCTATTCGTAACTACGAGTATGTTTATGTTTAAGATGTCTGCTTTTCTGCTTTGTCTTCCGAAACCAACAACATTTATTATGCTGAAATTTTTAACAACAGACTTATATTATTAAAATAGAATAATATATGTTGTCTAGCATAGTACAGTCACATAGGCTAAACAGGTATAGATTAGCAGCTAGATGATTTTTATGCATTACATATAATATCAATACTTGATACTACTTATCAATGATTGAATAAACGAATGACTGTTTCTGTTAATGGAAAAATGCAGTGAGTAGTGAAAGTCTGATGATCGTGGTCAAGGAATATATTATCTCCTGCCGCAGGACTAAGGAAAACAACCCTTGTGATATCAATATATCCACAAAATTACTGGTTTTGCGCCCGGTATGCTTTTATGTACCATTCCTCTTATTGTGATGGAAGTTGAGGGAATTCGTTATAAAATCACTGCGAGATATTCCGGACATTGTCCGGACTGGAATGAATCTGTCCGTGGAATGAATCTGAACTTTCTATTTCTCTGCTAAGTAGTATTGAAATAACTATATACTTTAAAAATCTACTCTCACATCAATCTAATGAACAGCTGAAGTTCTTCACGAATCGATTTTTTCAAGATGGCGGTTCACCTGATGTTAAGTGATTTTCACCGCCTATTGATATTTGTGTTGCAGGTGTTGCTGATGCGTTGTCACCTTTTAATAAAGTGAGCCCCGACTACCTCACCAGACGAAATGCAGAACTGTAAAACTTTTACTTCACGCTGGTTTTCTGTGAGGTTGTGGTACTTACACAGTACGTGGTACTTACCCTACCACAGTTATCGATTAACTAAAATCATTAAAAGCTTAAATCGGAGAAACAAATATAAATTCTAAACATTAGTTTTATTAAGGCAATCTATCCTAATTGTTTTTTAATTAAAGAAGTGTTCGAAACGGAGTCTGAATATTCATCTTCATTGTTCACCATTAAATTGATTTGACTCCCTATATCTGATTCCCTGTACCGTTTTTTCTTTCTTACTTCTTCACCCAACCTTTCGCATATGTCGACTGCGCTGCTTCTGAGTTCGAGGGGTAAGTTCTTGATTATAACCTCCCGAAGCAATGCGTTCCGCGTATCTTTACTCTCTGCGTATTCATTTCCTTCTCGTTTCCCCTTGAAACAATTCAGCTTGTCTGTGAGTGTGTCACAGTATTTCGATGTATCGCCTGGATTTCGACTGAATAAACCGACGACTGTATTAAGGGTGAATGTTAACAATAAGATAATTGCACACATAATCATGACGCTTATTGTTATAGAAAAAAATGCCGATTTGCAGTAAACACTGTAGTCCAGTGTTTGATTGTTCCATGTTGGATATAGTTTTCCAAAAGCGAGATCTCTTAAAAAGTGGATGTTTTGCGATATCGTGGAGCAATTAGACGTTAATTCAACTTTAACGGTATCGACATTTTCTGACGGTCTTGCGGCTATTGCCAGGCCCGTAGTGATAACATAAATGTCTTGGACGGTTAGCGGTTTTTCTAAATCCCTGCATGTGTTACTGGTGACTAACAATGCTACTTCCGGAAGCTCCTTATCTGGGTTGCCTATGCACACTGTTTCTGGTAAACATTTATGCAATTGCATGCTGTAAAAAGGTCTTTTTCCTGAATATTTAACGTCGCAATCAGCTGGGGCGCAGTCTTTCAAGGAGTCCTGGTCTGCAAACGAACACGTTCTTACAATCGCATCTCCAACATAATCTTTCAACAAATATTTAGAACTCATATCCTTACTTGAAGTCTGTGTATCAAATGGTATTTGAAATTCGGTTTTATTGCGTATATTTTGGCATTGTGAGTCGAGAATAACGTGACAGTATCCTTTAAGATCATGCTTATATAAGGATGGAAGTATATATGTCAAAGTTTTTTTGCTATGCGCTTTCATAATTAATGAACTAATGCTATTTATATCAAATATACTACAATCTTCTGTTTTATTCTCATCGACTATACAAGTTTTAAACTTAGTAATTATTCTACATGCCTTGTCAGAATTTTCCAGGTCTACATAGAATTGTATACCTATGGAATCTTTCACCAATGGCATCACCCCTTTGTCTAATAAAGTTATTGTACCAAGTACTCTATTAAGAATCAAGATTAGAATTGTAACACTGAGGGCAGTATCTTTTTTACACATAGCATTATGAAATTGACAGATTGACACATTAATATTTTATAACAGAATTAAATAACATATTTTCATATAGATTATACATAGTTGTATTTTTAAACATAAATAAAATTTCTCTGGCTTTCTTATTGTTGCATATAATATGTAGTTGTTATATTCTCTCTGTTATTGTTTAAAGAATATTTTAGAAAATAAACCAGCCATGATGAGCATCATGAGTAACGATGGTTTCAACCACTGTATTTACTTCATAAATGTGGAAAGTTGTGAAACGAACGTCCCTGAAATTTGATATGTTTTATTATTTCATCTTTTCCCTTACTCTAAACAGATGAAAATTTTATAATTCTTCTTTTTTGCGGTCATTAAACAGGTGTTCATCTTTGATAAAATCTGAAGCACGTTCCGCAATCATCATGGTTGCTGCGTTGGTGTTCACACTTGGTATAGTTGGCATTACACTGGCGTCGACGATCCTTAAACTTGTCACTCCACGTACTTTCAATTTATTACTAACCACTGCGGTCGGGTCTCCCTCTTTACCCATTTTTGTTGTACCCACTGGATGGTAGACATTAAAAGTGATTGTTCTGGCCATGCATTCCCAATAATCGTCACTGGCCATTTCGAATTCATCACAACCTTTAAAGTGAATTCTTCGAATTTTCGCATTCATACTCCTAAATGTCGATGTATCTACAATATTCATAACATTCTTGATGCTTTTAATAAATAGATCCATGTCGCGTTCGTCACTAAAATATTTAGAGTAAATTTTCGGAAAATCGACAGCGTTAACAGAGCGTAATAAAATTTTACCTTTGGAAAATGGACGGCACAAAGATATATAAAACACAAGTAACTCGTTTTCCTTATTTATGTCAGCAAACTGTTTACATATTTCATCTTCGAAAGACAATACATCCGTACACATTGAGTAAACATAAGAGGTATTGGGTACGAAGTAATTATGATCTATTTGGACATCAGGTAAAGTTTTATCTTTTTGTATAGACATAAAAGCGTTAATATTGGGTTGGTCGTAATTTGTTGCATGCGGCCCTGTTTGATCAACCAGGTATTGTGCCGCAGCTTTAAGCCAGTAGGATTCATCTTTTTGAGTTGTGTTTGTGTCTATCGTTACAAGTACAGGGATTCTTACATGGTCTTGAAGATTTTCACCCACTGGTAGATTCGAAATTACTTTAAATTTTAACTCTTCTAGATGTAATTTTGGCCCAATTCCAGATTGCATGAGAATAATAGGCGTGTTAATCGTACCCGCGCTTAGTATTACTTCTTTCTTGGCATAGAAGATGGTTAATTCACCACTAGACAATATGACTTTCACACCTACGGCTTTCTTTTTTTTGTTGAATTTAATTTTAGTCACTATAGTATTTTTTAAGACAAACAAGTTTTTACGTTTTCCTGCTGGATTTAGAAAAGCGGTCGCAGTGCTGATGCGCTTACCTTTATGATTTCCACCTCTTATTTTTCCTACACCCATTTGAGTGGGACCGTTAAGATCGTCTAAATATTTCAAGCCCAATTCCATGTAGCCTTCAGTTAATTTTTCTGCAATATGACTGTGTGTAAAATTTAATAGATCGACTACAAAATTTCCTTCAGTTCCATAATTTTCTCGAAGAGCCGGATTGTTCAGAATAAAGGGGTCCACTACCCTCTCACTTTTCTTGAAGTATTTTTTTATTGTGGGCCAATCCCACCCATCTTCTTTTTCCATATGCCAAGGTTCATAATCACCGGCACTTCCTTTCATATGGAGCAGACCGTTAATGCTTCCTGTTCCACCGATTACTCGTCCTCGAGGCCAGAAGGATCTGCGGTCTACACACCCTTTGTTAATATTGTCCTCCTGTTCAGTGTAATATTGATAGGCGTGTCGACTCCTCTGTATTGAAACTGAAAAGTTGGGAATCTGGAAATAGGTTTACAAAGCTAGCAATAAAGAACAGTCACTTGCATGATATTTTTGTGAGATGTGCACTGCAGATGCGATGCGAACTTTTAAAAAAATGCGGTCCTTGGATACCTCACTCACCAGACTTAACAAAAAAGTTAAATAAATACTACCACTTCACGCCATTCTACCGGACTGTTTCACCTCCACTCTCCGGACGAGCCTACTCATTCGCGCCGCAGCAGAAGTTGCACGAATAAAAGTAACGTACATAAATTTTCATGTGAGTATTTAAGACACTCGGGACAGCAAAATTTTGCATTTATAATAAATTTATGTTTTAAATTGATAAATAAATGACGACCCGAATGGCGTAGTGGGTAGTGTACCTGCCTTCTGCGTCAGAGGGTGTGGGTTCGATCCCCACTACTGGAAAAATATTGTGTGATGAACATAGTGTTTTTCCAGTGTCTGGGTGTTTATATATCTATAATATGTATTTATTTACAAAAGAAAAGTATGTTTAAGTATGTTTATCAGTTACCTAGTACCCATAGTACAAGCTTTGCTTAGTTTGGGACTAGAGAACATTGTGTAAAAATGTGTCCTAAATATTTATTTATTATTTATTTATTAAATTATAATTAATTTTGCTTTAAATAAATACTTACTATGCTTTCTAGAGGAGGATCCCCGCCTGCTTCTATTAATAACACCTTCCAGTCTTCAACTTCTGTTAATCTATTAGCTAGAATGGAACCTGCAGTTCCAGACCCAACGATGATAAAGTCAAACGACTCTTCATCTGGAATTTAAATATACAACTGAAGTTAAATGGAGTAATGTGAGAGACGAAAGGGGGTGAAGTGATCTTACACAAACGTACGTAAATTGTACAAGCTATTTTTTTATCAGACAGCGGTATAAGCTACTAATATGTGCAAAGTGGCAAATATTGCAACACCAAAAATGCCTAGGTACCAATTCTTGATAGAGTTAGTCTCCCGTCAGTGAAGAGAGTTATTTTTATGTGAAACGCTGGCTAGCAAGCAGGCGGTATAAAGTATTAGCTTTGCCTTTGAATATTGATATCTGTAACTACGATCTGCTGCGTGACACTGCAAAAGTCAACAAATCTTAAGCCTAAATCATCAAAGTACGTTGTTGTTTAGGTAGTGGTCCTTCAATATGTAAATGTATAAAAATTTGGTTTTGGTGATATAAATTATATAATATTAATTTTGGTGGTAAAAATGGCTAAAAATGATGACCACGAGCTTGAAAAACGAGACGTACTGTTCGGAATTTTACCGTTAAAATGATGACCACGACCAGCCAGTCTATCAAGACTGATACGACCAAGAGGAAAAGATTTCAATCAAATCTTACATGTGATACGGTCGAAGGCGTCTTCAGGCCAATTTTCGGTGATGAGACATTGCGCTGCCAAAAGATGCGTCACAACACCCGCAAAAGTGGCACCAGCAGGTCCATTTAAATAAGCGGGACAAGATACATTGCCACATGACATCCTGCAAAGTTATAACGCTAGAATATATGAACTGGCATGCATATTTCGCATGGTTTGTATGACGAGCTCTCCTTCTTACTTAGTTAAATGTTCTTATGTTATGATATATATATATATATATATATATATAATGATATATGATTAGATATGGTGGTAGAGCCACGCAGCAGCCTTGTCTGTTGCACGAATGGGCAGGCCCGTCCGGGTAAGTACCACGACCTCGCAGAAGACCAGCGTAAAGGGGAAGTATGACAAATACTTTCGCGTTTCGTCTGGTGAGTGAGGTAGCCGGAGCCCAATTTTCAAAAGGTTGTCAACGCATCTGTAACCCTCGGGTGTAGCAGATGTCCATGGGCGGCATATTCACTTACCATTAGGTGAACCGTCTGCTCGTTTGACAACATTTCGCATTAAAAAAAAAAAATGATAGAATATTGTTCTAAATGTTTTCATATAATTCACTAAACTTGAGTTGGTCCTTTTGAGTTTACTTATACACGCATTACATACGATTACATACCTACGCACATCACTTGTGTTTACACATCACACATTCCGTATTGAACGTAATTTAACTTATGCAAGGAGATAATTCTACAATATATACGAAGTATAACACAATGTATATTCATTTATTAAAATGATAAGGTTAAACCAGACCTAAAGTAGTATTTACATTAGCTCCTGACATTAGGTTAAGATAACATATTAAGACGCCATGCCGAATTTTACTTTTAACTGAAACACATCGACAGACATATAATAAACATGACTATTAAATGGAGCACTTCTCACCTCGTTATTTATTACGAATTTTCTTATTATTTTACCGATTTAATAAAGTCCAGTAGTAAAGTAAACACATGAGAATACATGTGAACTGCACGCTTGTTTCGAAATTAAACGGCTTATCAAATAAATAGTAATGCCCGCGATAAATTTAATTGACAACAGATAATGAAATATTGTGTATTATTACATCGTATCATATATTTAATACAACTAAGTTAAGTCCAGTTTCTTTTAATACAGAAATTCAGGGTGTGTTAAGATTTTTTTTAAAGAAATGCCCACTAATCTAGCGCTGTAGATTTTGCAGGCATGTTGTCAAACTTTTTCATGCTCATTTTAGGGGTAAATTCACTTGATATCGAGTGATGCCTGCCGCTCATCTACACACCTGAAGTGTTGCAGATGCGTTGCCACCTTTTAATAAAATCGGCCCGGATACCACATTTACCATAAAGTAAAGTAAGTAAAGTAACAGCCTATACATGTCCCATTGCTGGGCAAAGGCCTCCTCTCTAGAGAGGGTATCAGGGCATAGTCCACCACGCGGCCCCACATTGGCGGACTTCACATATCTTCGAAATATATTTTTTTGTTATTATTACGAAAATATGCAGGTTTCCTCATGATGTTTTCCTTCACCGCGGAGCACGTGATAAGTCAGCACTTGAAGTTAAAAACTTCATTGGTGCCGGCACCGGGGATCGAACTCAGGTTGCTCGAGTATATTGAATTAAAGGCGAGCTCCCGGACACTGAGCTATCACGGCTCTTATGCTTAACATACGAAACGTAAAAGTATAACACTTCCACTTAACGCCGGCCGTGGGACGATGGTACTTTCCCGGGACGAGACTGCCCATTCTTGCAACAGCAAAAACTGCTGCAAATCCTTACCATTGTTAAGTGTTGAGATTGTATCTGATTAATGAACTCACCAGACAAAACGCAAAAGTATTTATTTTTAACTTCCACTTACTTAAGGATAACATTAGCCTGTGTTGTAAGGACGCTTTACAAACATTTTCCCGTGGACAAACACCCAGATGCGAAACAACTATCTGTGGGTCACACAAATAGATTACACTTTTTGCGTGTCTTTAAATTGTCTAAAGGGAAATTTCATTCGATTATAATAGCGATACAGCTGTGAAAATGCTAAGAGGGAAATATTTTCTGTTATTTCTAAACCCGGTTTTTTTAACTTCTTTATTATATTACTACATAATTATATATTGCCACAGCGGAAATTTCAGTCCATGGATTATGCAGTTGTCCATATATAGAGATAAGTGAGTAATGAACGTTAAAACTTCGTCTTTATCCGATAATATTATTTATCAGACAGTTATCACATCGTAAGAAAGGATACAATAATGACACCAAATCTATTATTATAGTGTGTACTAATGCACGGATCATTATTGCAGTTGCTTACATTTTTGTATCGTTAATTTAGTCCATGCAAATTATATATTGGTCGGTAATCTCCAAAACTCGAATATCTTAAAAAAAGAACTGATATGTTTTTACAGACAACTTTTCATTTTTCAAACTTTCCGATAATGTTATTAATTTTTAATTGTACGAAAAAAATTACATCCACACTTAATTTCAGGGCTAGCACAACGACTTGTAAATATGTAATAATAATCGAGAAGGTCTTTAAAGAGTATACTGATTCGTGAGGGGGAGATGGGGCTAATTTCTCGTAACTTGACTACTAGAGCCCAGGCATAAGTAACTTCGGATAACGTAGTTAGCGTTCGCCACCTCAGTTACGGCCCGAGTAATTTGACCGTGCCGAAGGCGCGATAGCTTAACCGCCCCTCCTCGCCCTTACAAAACCCACACCGGAGCAAAATTTTGTGGTCTACAAATAAACGCTCCGAGTCTGAAGAAGACCACAGAAGACCAGCGTAAAGGGGAAGTATGACAAATACTTTCGCGTTTCGTCTGGTGAGTGAGGTAGCCGGAGACCAATTTTCAAAAGGTTGTCAACGCATCTGTAACCCTCGGGTGTGGCAGATGTCCATGGGCGGCGGTATTCACTTAACATCAGGTGAACCGTGTGCTCGTTTGACAACTTTTCGCATAAAATAAAAAAAAATAAAAATTATCATCGTTGTCGACTCTCCACTAGATGGAGTGACTGTGCATGTGATGGAGGAGGGATGCAGGTGGCTTAGAATCGTGCTTCGTGTCAGTCTGTGGAGGAAGCCTATGTTCAGCAGAAGACTGAAATTATTATGAAGCGGCTGATCAAGATACTGTGTGACAAATTGGCTTGTTGTTTTGTATATATTCCTCTGATTCCATAAGTCCTGCTTTTAGCTTGTGGCCTCATACCAAACCTTGTTGCGTAGAATTACCAATTATATTTCATTGATAGTTATGTTAATTAATGGTAATAAGGAAAGAGAAAACAAAGTCATGTCTTTATCTTTATAGTGGCAGCACTGCGTCATTACACACGTCATTACAGCAACTTACTATTTTCCTCATAGATACAGGAATATATTTCTTATTAAACGATATGTACTAACTAACAGCCTGTGCTACTAAAACATTATTCCTAATCTCGAGTTTCTGTTTCTTTCCAGGCTTTTCGTCGAAAAACTTCAACAGATTTTCATAAAAATTGAATTAACATATTTGAGGACTTTTCAGGGAATGATTGAGGGTACTTTATATACAAACTTGGTTGAGCCCGAAAAGTCTCCGAAATATAAGTTCATGGCAGACCATCGCTGGTTGAATTTACTGTGCGGAAAAATAATGATGACTCCTTGTCTCGGTTTTGATATACCTGTTATACCGAGTAGTACCTATACTAATTGTTTGGTGGATCGAAACTTTTTGAAAATTGTTCCTCTTTACATTTTATAACATATACAAGTGAATCTGACAGATTATATAGAACGTATCATACGGAAAGAGATAGCGGTCTATAGAATTGCAATCTAATTACAGCAATTGGTGTAAATTGATTGCTTTAATTTCGGTGCGCTAATGTATCTTTTTATTATCATTGGCGCCATCAGTACTTGAATTTTGGGTAGTAAAATAATTAATTATAATAATAATAATGTTTATTTTTATCCATAATATTTATTTTATATATGCAATATATATCTATGTTTTTATTTTTATTTATAAACCCAACCAGGCGAGAAAACAAATAATAATAATAAAATATCTTTATTCACATAGACGCTTGCGCGTTCTTATGAAACGTCAAAATTTTACAAAGAAATTAACACTTTCGTAAGTTACCACCGGTTCGGAAACCAGTTTCTGTTGAGAAGAAACCGGCAAGAAACTGAACAGTTGCTCTTTTTTAAAAGGTCAGTTTACAATATAATAGTAGTAGTTTACAGTATGATAGTACAGGTATAATAGTCTTGTTTTAGCCTACGTGAGTATCAACAGTATTAACCCCACACATTGGCGTCGTCAAGATATTCTGCAATAGTATAATTATATAGTAGGCTTTAGCCATAAGTTTACTTTAAATTTTTCGTTTAAATTCATAGTGGCAGACTTAATATCGACTGTGGGATTTTATTATACACGCGCACACTGCCCCATGAACGACCTGTTTACTTTTTGTAGACGAAACAATGGCGTAGTTAGTTTGTCCTTATTTCTAGTATTTATTTTATGACTGTCACTATTCTTTAGATAATTATTAATATTATGTTTAACATACAAAATATTACAATAAATATATTGAGACGCAACAGTGAGTTTATTAATCTCTTTAAAAAGATCTGAGAGTGTATTCCGGGCTCCGATGTTATAGATTGCTCGGGCAGCTCTTTTTTGAAGAATAAATATTGAATTTATATCAGATGCATTGATGAATTTGCATGATCAAAGAAACGGAATATGAAATGTCCAGTGTTAAATGTAGGGCACAAGATTTCTCAACTTACAAGTTGAGAACACAGTACACTGTGTACTACATTTGAATAAATAAAATATTAAAAGTTGACAGTAGCCAGGATTATGACATTTTTGGCAAAAAACATGGCGTCTGTCACGTGACTACGAAACGTTAAGGGTTCAAAATGAAGGGGGTTAAATTAAAAAAAATTAAGCGCAATAAAATCCGTAAAATTACTTTTATTTAATAACTTTATTTTATTTATACTTTGAAATAATAAGGTCGAATGTTGGACTATACAAAAAACTAAACAATTTTCAAGCTCTATACCAACACAGACACAGAATTATGTACATTTTGTAATCGACGGAGATAAACCCAATGCGTAATTAATAATTTCGTTCACAGTAAGTCGATCGGGGTAAATACTTGATAAATAGTTTAAACACTAGGATTCATAATTGACCTTGTGATGATAAATATCTTTCCACAGGATATATTGAGAATGCATATGTAAGAAATATTTTAATATATTTCCTGGTTTCGCCAATCCGCAAAAGGACAGAGTAGTCCGTAAATCGTCATTCTCTCTGGGGAGGCCTTTGTTCACGGTTGCTTCCACATAGCTATTACTATTTATTTTAATATTTAATAAACATCATCATCGTCCAGAAGACTCTGAGGCTCCTTTTCGCAAATGAACGGCGCAGTCAAATGGCACCACATGTCGTCGAACAAACCCTCTCTGAACATGGCGCCGCAGTACTGGCCATCTGTTGCATTATCCGGCTGACCCTTGTTCCACCGCGAGTAACCTGCTTCCGCAAGGGTCTCACCTGGAATAAACAATACGACCTTATAGTCAATAAAAAAAAAAAAAACAAATTAATATCTTACTGATTGTTTGACCAGAATTTTCGATGACTCCGTGGCGTAGTTATCAAGGTATTTGGCGTCGGGGGTCGGGGTTCGATCCCCACACGGGACAACTATTTGTGTGACCCACAGATGGCTGATGGTTGACCCACATCTGGGTGTTTGTCCGCGTGTAATTTATGTGTGTAAAACGTCCTTACAACACAGGATAACGTTATCCTAAAGTAAGAGCGATGTTTTAAAAAAGAATGTATCTGGTCAAACAATAAGTAAGGTCTCCCACGCATAAAAAGATTCAGCTATGCGCCATATTTTCGTTCCCGAAGAACAGAAGTATAAGCACCCTTATGCTGTCGACGTTCCACGTACAAGAAAAAAGCGATTCGCTTCTTCATTTATCATCCGCACAGCTAAGGAATGGAAGAGGCTGCCGGCGTCCGTCTTTCCGTCCGAATACAACGTAGGCGTCTTCAAGGCAAGAGTGAATAGGTTTCTACTGAGCTAGCACGCTCACCATCAAAGGCTGCATCGCCGCTTACCATCAGGTGGGATGGCAGTCAAGTGCTAACCAGTTTTTGAATTAAAAAAAAATAAGCGCCTGTCTGTTGCACAAATGCTGTTAGAATGTTTCTACAGTGGGTTAGATATTTTTTCGGACACATTTAGATTTACACAACGTTCTCTAGTCCCAAACTAAGCAACGCTTATTCTATGCTAGTGCTAGAAAACTGATAAACATACTCAAACATACTTTTACATTGTAAATAAATACTTATTATACATAATAATATAAACACCCAGACACTGGAAAAACACGATGTCCATCGCACAATATTTTCCGGTAATGGTTGTTTAGAGGCAGGGTCACTACTGCCCACGCCAATCGGCACGTCAGATATTTTCTCACAGCGCGCATTCACTTACCGTGTATCGTGTTCCATGTGCCGAGCCTGTTCCAATCGTAAAAGCCGAGCAACGCCACGTACGGGTACCTGGCCTTGATTTTGGTGTCTGGATAGTGAGCGAACAACTCCTTCAGGCTCTGAGCCTCCTGATCGCTGTTGATGATGGCCAGATAGCCGCCCTCTGCGGAGCAGGTCATGAACGCGACAGGCCAGGTGCGGCCCACGTCATGAAATTTATAACAGTTCCCGGTGTTTTCGTTTAGAGTGTATCCTGTAAAGCGGCAAATTTTTAAGTTAATGATTTAAACAATAAACATGCTAGGACAAACTTTTAGACAATGATTTTTAGTTTCAAACTAAGCTACGCGCGTACTTTGGGTAATAGATAACTGATAAACATACTTAAACATTATTTTCTTTTGTAAATATATACATACTATACATATATAAACACCTAGCCACTAGAAAAACAGTATGTTCATCACACAATATTTTTACAGGAGGCAGGTACACAGCCCACTACGCCATTCGGGTTGTTACATTCCATGGGACCCAGATACATTTTTCAACAATCGCAAATTTTTCTCGAATTTAATTTGAATGAACAGAGAAATACGCAAAACTAACAACTAATGACTTTTCTTTGTTTGGAACATAATTATAATTATTAAATTATATTACCCTTAAAATTAAAATAGAATTTTGATTCTACAAAAATCGCAAGTTTCAAGCATTAAACAAGTAATTGATTCTAGATATTAAATTATTCTTTTTTTATGTGAAAAGTTGCCAAACGAGTTGACGGTTCACCTGATGTTAAGTGAATACCGCCGCCCATGCTTCACCCGAGGGTTACAGATGCGTTGACAACCTTTCAAAAATTGGGCTTCGGCTACCTCACTCACCAGATTAAACGCGAAAGTATTTGTCATACTTCCCCATTACGCTGGTCTTCTGTGAGGTCGTGGTACTTACCCGGACGAGCCTGCCCATTTGTGCAACAGCCGAGGCTGCTGCGTGGCCCTACCACCGTAAAAATTTAAATTGGACAGGTTAGGACCATTGTCTTACGTGAGAATATCCTAACAGGTCATTACTTGCTAGGATATTCTCACATAGGAAATGATACTCGTCCTGAGTGAATAAGTAATTCAGATATACAGATTAACAGATACTCAGGTAAAATATTGACACTAACCACTATCTCCTGTTCCGCAGTTAGTGATGAAACTGGTGTTTTTGCTCTTTTTGTAGCAAATGAATGGGAAGACTTCGTTGCAATTAACGTCTGCAACCGTTCCGTCGTTCTTCAAAACAAGGCATTCCTCGCTATTGTCACAATTGTCAGGTTCCCCTGCGGCCCAAGTTATTGGTATTCTGGTCAGCGGTACTCCTGAAACACATATACAACATAATGGTAGCTTTGTGGATGGAAAGCCTTGACTCTAAATCTAGTAACATTTGAAATCAAAATATTGATCATCAAACTATTTCACAAACAAGTCGAAAGTTTTTTAATTCAACACAGGTTGGATAATATAATAACTCTAATAGTTATATAATATATCTTGGCAAATTAACGATTGCATCTTTCTAAATATAATAAGATTTATCAGATTACCGTAATAATTTCTTATATTTACGCGAACATTATTGATTAGATTAGAAATATTCGATATTCTAAAATAGCAATACTTTCACTTTCCACTTGCAGATTTAATTATATGAAACAGAAACGTAACTGTAATTATAATTACAAAGTTATGTTCATAGAAAACGTTTCGTTTTTGGAAAAAAAAATCTAGCAAAGGGGATTGTCCATTCGGCCCAATATGCTCAGCATACTCGAGAAAAAATTGTACTTAAGCAATAATACTAAAAATTATGATTACCTTAATACACAAACATTTTTGATTTACGGTTGTATAATTAACAGTAATAAAACATTTTATTTGAAAGTAACGTATTTCATATTATGTATGTTTTACGGTGCAATATATGTACAAAAATATGATTATCTACCAATCCAAATAAAACTTATGTTATTACGTTTTAATCGATGTAAAAATATCATGTTTCTGTAAATCCACTGTGTTTGTTCATCCACCTGCACAGTTCTTGGACCACATGTTATTAATTCTTTTTTAATTAAAATATTTTTAGGACGCTTTTTTGCAAACGTTCTTTAACGGTTTAACTTGAATTGATTTGTGAACTTCAAGGGATACTATTGATAGAGATTTTGCCGGCGGAGTTGCACTTAGAATCCTTACTTCCTCACTAATTAAATCATGTAGAAAAAGTACGAAAAGATTGTCGCCGCTGTGGGAATCGAACCCACGTCTTCGGCATTCGCGGCCTGACGCTCTAGCCACTGAGCTAAACGGCTGATAGCCACAGCGACGAAAATCTTAACGCCTTCTTTCTACATTGTCATTTAGCATTTGAAGCAATGCTTGGCGAATCTATTGTTATATCCTTTCCAGCATACAAACAATTTCGAATATCGTTTTACAACGATAATTCGAAAGAGAGATGTCGCCATTGCTTTTTATAAATTTTAAAGTTTTTTATAGTGCTAATCTCTGCACTTAAGATTGAACATTAAAACATGTAGAAAAAGTACGAAAAGATCTCGAAGTACGAAGATTAGAATCTTAAGTGCAGAGATTAGCACTATAAAAAACTTTAAATTAAAAAAAATCCTTACTAATATTATAAATCCTTGCTAATATTATACATGCGAAAGTTTGTATGTATGGATGGATGTTTGTTACTCTTTCACGCAAAAACTACTGAATAGATTTTAATGAAACTTGACAATAATATAGCTTATGCATCAGAATGAGACATAGGCTATAAATTTATGTACGTATTTTACGGTGGTAGGGCCACGCAGACTAGTTTCAGATCTGCATGAAATGTTAATGGGACCATTTCCGAATAAAAACTTTCGAACAAAAAATTAATTTTGGAAATCGGTCTACATATGTCGGTTATGCCGCAACATACATAAAAAAAACGTAAACATCTGAATTGATAACCTCCTCCTTTTTGAAGTCGGTTAAAAACACAATGATGATCAATAAAATGGAGTTGAAAATTTTTTGTCCCTTAAAAGTCTTCATAAAAACAATCTTAAATATTTTTAAGAAATATCAAGATACAAAAGTTGATTATTTTTCATACTCCCACTGTTAAAAGCTAATAACTCTGTGTATAATTTTTATACTTACTATTATATTCCTCACAAATTAATAACAAAAATATACATCAAACATCAAAGTATACATGCGCAAAGGTCATGATTTAAAACAATAACAAACTTTCAGATGATGTGAAGGGAAAAATAAACAGTGTTTATTATTAACTAAGTTTATTAAGCACACCACCTCCCACTATTCATAAGTTTAATTTTCCTTGTCCTAAGATTGTCTGGAAGAGATCGCTCTTTAGCGATAAGACCGCCTTATTGTACCTAGCTTTTAAGATTTATTTTATATCAACTGTATAAAACTTTTTGTGGTGTACAATAAAGTATATATATGTATAATAATAATAATAGTGTTTTACCTTCTAGGGAGAAATAGTATCCTTTTGCTATAGTCGCGTGTATTCCAATAAAGATATTATAAGTTGTGTGGTTCATAGCCGCTAGAAGATCATCATTTAAAGGAGACGCTAGTACAGCACCTTAAATATATAAATGGTATCATTTCAAATGGTGTACACGAGCACACGAAAGAAACGATTAATTTTGCTTTGAATCATCATAATTCAAATTTTCTTTTTTTCCCCGACAAACAGGATATATCGCATGTGCGTCGACTAAGGGCCTATTTATATTAACGTAGATATTTGACATTAGCTCCATAATAATTAAGTCAAAACTCTATTTCCAGTAACCGAATGTATCTGTAGACAGAATATTGAAACAGGCCGTAAAATGATTAAGATATTTTTGTCCTGCATATCTGCTGGGCCATGGAAATGATCGCCTAATCCCCAACACAAACAGTACTGACGTGGAGTGTCTTAAGGGAGGAGAGCCTACCCTCTTAGGGGAGTTACACTCCTTCTGTCACTTAAATCACGCCCTTCATCTCCCTTTGCGTAGACGGCGTACTCCTCTGCGCTCACTGCCATATTATTATGGTCTTTCCATATCAAAATAAGCGACGACGAATGTGGCTTCGCCTTATTGGCTTCTAAAATGACAATACCTGGCGGAGCATTGCATTGTCGTGCAGTTACGTTGTCTACCTTTTTTTTTTTTTTTTTTTTTATGCGAAAAGTTGTCAAACGAGCAGACGGTTCACCTGATGTTAAGTGAATACCGCCGCCCATGGACATCTGCTACACTCGAGGGTTACAGATGCGTTGATAACCTTTTGAAAATTGGGCTCCGGCTACCTTACTCACCAGACGAAACACGAAAGTATTTGTCATACTTCCACTTTACGCCGGTCTTCTGTGAGGTCGTGGTACTTACCCGGACGGGCCTGCTAATTCGTGCAACAGCCGAGGCTGCTGCGTGGCCCTACCACCTTTTAAACGGCGGACATAGGTTCCACATAATGTTACGACCAGGGCGGTGTTGACGGCTTAAATGTCATCGACCCGCGATGACGGTTGAATTGTTGACATACAGGAATGACTGAATGATTTTATTCTAAATTATTCGTGTACAGCGAAAGAAGGTTCGTATTCCAGAACTCAACGTCAACAACCCGCGGGACTGTAACAATATTATACTTTTACTAGCGAACCGCCCCGTGCAATGATACATATAAACCTTCCAGCTAAAACTGCATCCAGATCCGTTGCGTAGTATAAAAGATCTAAGCATAAATAGGGATAGTGAGACAGCGGGACGAATTTTTTATACTATGTAGTGATGCGGTAAACGAGGTGATTGATTTCTTTCTTTTGTTCGGTCGGTCTTCTGTGGCACTTCCTCACATCAACTGGCCGACTAATACATATAAAAGCATTATTTAGTAACTAACGTGTGGTGGTTACTAAATAAAACTTTTTACGGTAGCAGGGCAAGGCAGCAGCCTCGGCTGTTGCACGTCCGGATAATTACCACGAACTTACAGAAGACCGGCGTAAAGTGGAAGTATAATACTTTCGCGTTTCGTCTGGTGAGTGAGGTAGCCGGAGCGCAATTTTCAAAAGGTTGTTAACGCATCTGCAACCGCGACTACTACCGCATCTCAACATTTACTACACCCAAGGGGGGGTAGTAGATGTCCATGGGCGGCGGTATTCACTTAACATCAGGTGAACCGTCAGCTCGCTTGGCAAGTTTTCATGTAAAAAAAAAAATTCTAATTTACTCTCATATTTGTTTACCTTCCAGTTGACACTGCAGCCGAGCATCGTGCCATGTGGCTGGCACACGGTGGAATTTCAGCCATCCTTGAATTTCTTGGTGATACTTATAATCGAAACGGTAAAATTTCCCATCTACAATGAATCGGTAATTTAATTATAGTAATTAATTCGATTTAATCGGTAATTTGGGTAAGTTTTCAGGTCTAAATCGAAAGTTGCGGAAGTCTTAAACGTTTGCTATGTCATCACATTTGTTACGTATTTACGTTGAATAGACTGTGGTATCCAATGTATTTATTTGTATAACCTACCTTTAAAATATCCTGTCTATGCTATACCGTCGTAAACTATATTTTACACATGTTTTAAAACTGTGTTAAATAGTTAATTTTATTAACCCTTGGTTATTCAATAATATGTAATATTCCGTAACTAATGAATAACACGTTATACATAGTCTGGCATAAGGTTAGGCATAGGTTTTAACAATATCATTTAATAAACGATTCTTCAGACTTACCTGATAATAAGGCTATATTAAATAAAATATATAAAAGAACTGGATTTATAAATATCTTCGATATGTTTATCATTATATATTAAATGAGTATTTATTTCATATGAAAACTGCGAGCTGTGCAATAATAAACTGACAAATTGTCTTTATATGTACACTTGTGCAGGCTACAACTGAGTGTAATAAATATTATTGTGAAACTAATTGGACCTGATATACGAGCAAAACCACAAGCACGCGCTAATTGTATGACACTTTAATTGATAATATCATAATTTACACTAAGGACGTATAAACAAAAACAAGGACGCATAAGACAATTAAATAGGTAGTTAGGTGTATATGTACCCGCCAGGGTACATATTTGATACTGGTTTTCGCACTTATGTTATAAAACTGCCACATCGACTGTATTGTCGTCCCCGGCTTCGACCATCCAGTTTAGGGAACCGCTACTAGAAGCCAGGATATCTATTAAAGAATCCTCCCACCGCCTCCGAAAAAGGGCCAGCGCTTTCATATCGTGATATGAAAACAATTTATTCATTAGGTGTAACATTGCGTACACTAAACAACCGTGACTGTTAATCCTCGAATCCTGCATGACTTAAACTCATTATTTGTGAAGAAATCGGTAAAAACAGATACAATTAAAATAGTGATAACGGGGTGAAATACAGGAAAATCAGTATAATATTATTGTATCCTTAAATCAATTAACATAATTATGAATCAGCTTCATTAGTAATTTCATCATTGTTATGACAAAGTAATCTAATGAATCTCCCTTTAAAAGTCAGCCAGCCCAAGGCCCTAATTCCAGGCACTTGTCTGTTTACAGTAAAAGCTGATTTAAAAAAAATCACAATACAGTCATAATTAACCAAATACACCGTGAATAGCTTTTATTGGTTTCAAAACTTTCCTTACAAGTTAGCTCGTGATGATAGAAACTTTCGTAGGATATTGTTACAATTTTAGGTTTTGCTGTTTTATGAATGAGCTGGCCTTTTCAGGAAGTTCGACGGGCTCTCAGGAGGCCAACGTGAAGGAGTATTGTGTATCACCTAGCGAGTGAGGCATCCGGGACCATCTTAATGGTAGCATTTTACTAGGCAGCATTTTATTAGGCAGGCTCGTCCGGGTAAGTACCACGACCTACAGAAGACCGGCGTAAAGTGGAAGTATAATATTTTCGCGTTTCGTCTCAGTGACGTGAGGTAGCCGGAGCGCAATTTTCAAAAGGTTGTTAACGCATCTGCAACCGCGACTACTACCGCATCTCAACATTTACTACACCCAAGGGGGGGTAGTAGATGTCCATGGGCGGCGGTATTCACTTAACATCAGGTGAACCGTCAGCTCGCTTGGCAAGTTTTCATGTAAAAAAAAAAATTCTAATTTACTCTCATATTTGTTTACCTTCCAGTTGACACTGCAGCCGAGCATCGTGCCATGTGGCTGGCACACGGTGGAATTTCAGCCATCCTTGAATTTCTTGGTGATACTTATAATCGAAACGGTAAAATTTCCCATCTACAATGAATCGGTAATTTAATTATAGTAATTAATTCGATTTAATCGGTAATTTGGGTAAGTTTTCAGGTCTAAATCGAAAGTTGCGGAAGTCTTAAACGTTTGCTATGTCATCACATTTGTTACGTATTTACGTTGAATAGACTGTGGTATCCAATGTATTTATTTGTATAACCTACCTTTAAAATATCCTGTCTATGCTATACCGTCGTAAACTATATTTTACACATGTTTTAAAACTGTGTTAAATAGTTAATTTTATTAACCCTTGGTTATTCAATAATATGTAATATTCCGTAACTAATGAATAACACGTTATACATAGTCTGGCATAAGGTTAGGCATAGGTTTTAACAATATTATCATTTAATAAACGATTCTTCAGACTTACCTGATAATAAGGCTATATTAAATAAAATATATAAAAGAACTGGATTTATAAATATCTTCGATATGTTTATCATTATATATTAAATGAGTATTTATTTCATATGAAAACTGCGAGCTGTGCAATAATAAACTGACAAATTGTCTTTATATGTACACTTGTGCAGGCTACAACTGAGTGTAATAAATATTATTGTGAAACTAATTGGACCTGATATACGAGCAAAACCACAAGCACGCGCTAATTGTATGACACTTTAATTGATAATATCATAATTTACACTAAGGACGTATAAACAAAAACAAGGACGCATAAGACAATTAAATAGGTAGTTAGGTGTATATGTACCCGCCAGGGTACATATTTGATACTGGTTTTCGCACTTATGTTATAAAACTGCCACATCGACTGTATTGTCGTCCCCGGCTTCGACCATCCAGTTTAGGGAACCGCTACTAGAAGCCAGGATATCTATTAAAGAATCCTCCCACCGCCTCCGAAAAAGGGCCAGCGCTTTCATATCGTGATATGAAAACAATTTATTCATTAGGTGTAACATTGCGTACACTAAACAACCGTGACTGTTAATCCTCGAATCCTGCATGACTTAAACTCATTATTTGTGAAGAAATCGGTAAAAACAGATACAATTAAAATAGTGATAACGGGGTGAAATACAGGAAAATCAGTATAATATTATTGTATCCTTAAATCAATTAACATAATTATGAATCAGCTTCATTAGTAATTTCATCATTGTTATGACAAAGTAATCTAATGAATCTCCCTTTAAAAGTCAGCCAGCCCAAGGCCCTAATTCCAGGCACTTGTCTGTTTACAGTAAAAGCTGATTTAAAAAAAATCACAATACAGTCATAATTAACCAAATACACCGTGAATAGCTTTTATTGGTTTCAAAACTTTCCTTACAAGTTAGCTCGTGATGATAGAAACTTTCGTAGGATATTGTTACAATTTTAGGTTTTGCTGTTTTATGAATGAGCTGGCCTTTTCAGGAAGTTCGACGGGCTCTCAGGAGGCCAACGTGAAGGAGTATTGTGTATCACCTAGCGAGTGAGGCATCCGGGACCATCTTAATGGTTAGCATTTTACTAGGCAGCATTTTATTAGGCAGGCTCGTCCGGGTAAGTACCACGACCTCACAGAAGACCGGCGTAAAGTGGAAGTATAATATTTTCGTCGTTTCGTCTCAGTGACGTGGCCGGTGCTCAATTTTCAAAAGGTTGTCAACGCATCTGCAACACTCGGGTTTAGCAGATGTATATGGGCGGCGGTATTCACTTAACATTAGGTGAACTGTATGCTCGCTTGGCAACTTTTCAGATAAAAAAAAATCAACACAGTTGGAGCCCCACGGGTGTTGTAGATTTGAACGGCGATAATAACTTACCATCCGGTTTGCTAGTTAGGCACCTTAAGAATATAAGAATATCATGTCATGCGAGTAGCTGTTAGTTTGCAATAAAACAACTTTTATAAGCAGATTACAACTAGACTAACTTTGGAAACAAATTTGTGTAAGAAGTGGACCGGGCATATGATGTGCTCTAAGGAGGAGAAATAAGGTACAGAATCACAAATTGTTGTCCCAAATAATCAAAAGGTGTGCAGTGCAGCCGAAACTGCGGAGTGGTGGAAAAGATCAAGGTGACAGGACCTTGATAGAAGTGACTTACGAGGGACAGGGCTCAGTGGTGAGCTTTATAGGAGTCTCTTGCCAAGAGGTTGGCTGCGATGCGGAACATCTTATCGTAATGTATTATTCTGTTTATTACAATTTTTGGTTCACAGTCGTAAGGGCTATATGTTATACACAATTAGGATTAAGATTAATTTTAGATTGTCTTTCTTATTTAATAACTAGCCTTGCATTTTGATGAATTACTAAGAGGTAACATTGGTAAACCACTTTCGGAGGTTTCATATTTATTTTATTATTATTACTCATTATTACCTGAAACACTGTAATCAGCATACACTAAATATCAAATAAAAATAAATAAAAAAGTAAAATTAGCACGTACTTCATCGATGGTTGATGGAATTTCAGTTCCGGTTGCTCGTTTGTATCATGACAATCACAATGTTTCAAAGGACATTACGGAGATAGGTGGACGACAGTTTGGGACGTAAAAGCTCGCTGAAGAAGGATTCTTCTATCTTTCTCTGTCCATTGGCAGCATTGATCAGGTGAGCGTGTATTTATTCAGTTACATTTCAAATTTAGATGTGGTCTCAGTGGTATTTGCTGAACAATTCAGTTGGACGGGTTAGCACGTTTACCGGAATGATTTATTGTTTAGTGCAAACTGTTCGCGTGGAAGATCGTTAAGATGATTTAGCGTTGTCATTGATTTAATGTTGTTTTACTCAAAATAACAGTATTTTAATCCTCCTCAGGTTTGGTCTTTGGTTAGCTTTAATGTTTGCTAAGACAAACCCAAGTTGTGTTGAAATTTCTCAGTAAAAACTCCGAGGAATATTTTAAATCGCAATGGTTTCGTATTAAAATAATCGTAGATATAAGCTGTTAATCAACAGATTGTACGTTTCCATGTAACCGTCAGAGATGTCTTAGATCTGTATATAATTTTTGCTAATATTATACAACAGTAGAAAAATATAATTTAAAACTTAATCTTTGGTGAGACAAAACTTAATTAATTAAATTAAGATATAATATTATATACTATAAATGTAAAACTTTTTTCATTTGCATTTGTACTTATTTTCAATCAAGTAATGTTTACGGCTAATGTCTATTAACTAGAATTACCATAATATAACCCTGCAATTCGTTGGCTCCAAGAGAGCTCATTGAATTTCTTTTCAATGGTTATAATAAAGAATATATTTTAAATAAATGACATAAATTTATTAATGTAGTGGTCCAATAGACGAATGAACATCGATTGCTCCGATTTCTTAATATTTTTCGAAGATATTTTATTTTATTAAGAGATATCTCTTAACTCTATTATCGCATAGAACTTATTCAGCTTAATGCATATTTTATTCATGTCTATGACTTGTTTTCAACTACAGAGGGATATAAAATAATAGTAAAATTTTTATTCAACGACATTTTCTAAAAGATAAACATCGTTGTAAGAGCAATTAATGTCTTTAACAATGAAACAATTTCATATTATACCGAATAATGTCTTACCGAAAATCTTTTAAGAAAAAAATTAGCCTGCAAGCCCTTACATCTTTTCGTGAAACCTTAGACGTTCAATTGTAAATATTTTAAAGTAGAACAGAGTGCAAAACTATTTATAGGCTCAATTATTTCTAAAACTAAAGTTTAATAAATGTTATATAATAAACTAACAAAAAAAATATACCTTTCAGATCTGGAATAATTACTTTGATGATACCGAATATTACAACTCTTTAGAGTTGTATAGGGTCTTTAGTTCTTAATACTCCAAAGTCTTAATAATAATAGCTAATTCATAATGCAAGTAAAATGCTACTATGTATATTGTCACCATTATCATTCATTCATCATTCATATTATCCAACTTAATGCCCATAAAGTAAATTACTAGATAGAACGTTTATAAATAGCAAATATATAAATTGGATTGGTTATCGAATTATATATAATATGACCTATATATAATATGAACTATATATAATATGACCAATGAAATGACAAAGAAATTGGGAAAGATGTTCTGGATATGACATTGACAGCATTGACGACGGTCAAAAGTTTATGATGACATGCAAAGCAAGGGAATATACATGTTTACGTGTACACGTTATTTTGTTGACATATGAAAAATGATCGCGTTATTAATTTATGTCCGCTATGAGTTTCTTGATGCTCCCGCCGTATCAGTGTTGATTTAGTTCTGTGTCCAGTTAAATGGTATATAATAAGCTCAACCCGGGCGTGGAGTGAAAGTATTAATACAGTTAATATATAAATGTGAATAGATATATTATTTTATAAGAAATATTATTTATAAATGGAAGTATAAAATAGCATTTATTTTATACTTCCATTTAATGTACTCCACAATAAGCCCCTCCAGTTGCGCCTCTTGACCTCTTCTGCGCAGCCTCTGACCTCTTTATTTTGGCCACTTCGTCGTTAATGAAACCTCATTATTCGGGAAGCCTCAACGCCTCGCGCAGACGTTTTCAAATGGGCAGTGTTTTTCCTGTAATACACGATTTACAAGATACTTGTGTTGTTATAAGTTCTTCGCATATTTTACACTTTATAGATTTATACATACGACGAACTCTTTTATTCATAATACACGGGTTATTTTGAAGTTTCCATTACGATATTAAAAACTGTTGTTTATAATAATACTAGTGACCCGCCCCGACTTCGCACATGCGCAATGTATTAATAATACATATAAATCTTCCTCTTGAATCACTATATCTAGTAAAAAAATCAACGCATCAAAATCTGTTGCGTAGTTTTCTAGATCTAAGCATAGGGACAGATAGACAGCGGGACGATATATATATATATATATATATATATATTATATAGCCTATCGCCTTTAATTCAATTTACTAGAGCAAAGTTTCGAAAATATGTGCAGTCCACCAATACGCAGTGGGATCGCGTGGTGGACTATGCCCTGATACCTTCTTTACAGAAGAGGCCTTTGCCCAGCATTGGGACATTTATAGGCTGTTACTTTACTTTACTTTTTTTAAGTTTTTTTTTTTTTTTTTTTTAGTTTACTTTTTTTAAGTCGAATCTTATTGTAGTGTCGGCAATATTTATCCCCTTTTTGCCTTTATGTTAATCAATGTGTTCAAAAGTACCAGAGATCTAGTTACGAATTAGTGTAATAATCGTTAAATTGTGCTAATTACGGTAATTTAATATATATATATTATATGAATAATTATATACACATCGCTAACGTAGAATACGGTAAACCTATTTGTTATGTTACAGTTTATCTTGTCATTTGTTCTGTTAATTAATCCCCATAGAAAACATGGTATAGTGTGTTGTTTTATCATGTGACAACATTATAATGTTTGCTTCAAATTAATTAATATAATTTATAT